TTTTTTTTTATGAGTGTATCTGTGTTAAAAAAATAAATTGACATCAGAAACATTTTCGTTATTGCAATTTTTAGTGAAAAATATTTTTATCGTTATTAATTCAAAAGGTGTTTCCGAAATCCAAAAACAGTGTAAATGGTTCAAGCTTAAACCTTAGAATCCTTCTAAATTGAAAACAAAATAAAAAAATCAAGTACCGGACATCTACTTTATAATACGAGAACAAATTGACATATTTGCGTTTCGTTATTACACAGTTTTTAGTGAAATTTGTTTTTATCGTAATTAATTCAAAACATTTCCGAAATCTAAAAACAGTGTAATAGGTTCAAGCTTAACCCTAACAAGCTCGCCAGACTAAAAACATTATCAAAATCAAGTACCGGATATCTATAGCCAACCCAGTAACGCATTGAACATTTAGCCTTAATATGATTATATTTGTATTTATATGTATAGTCACGGTGTGTAGTGCCGTAAAAAAACAGAAGCGGGCTTTAGAAAAGCAATAATGATTTTTTATCATTAAAAATGCGTGGTATAAAGCTCCTATTAGCTACTATTGTTTACTGCGTCACTGATGATCAGATTTAGCATAGATTACTGAATATATCCTAGAGCGATTTAGATTGATGAGATTTAGATCCGATACCGCTGACTCATTTTATCATATATCGTTAGTTCGTGATTTGTTCTTGATTGTTCTCTATCAATGATTGTTCATCAATATTTTATTTATAAAAGATAAATTAAAAATCTGCCTTATTGTTAGCCCCCCAGTCCAATTTATAAATTCCTTCGTTATTATTGATATTTTTATACTCAATAATATTTGTTCTTTGATAAAATAAACTTTTTTTATCAAAAAATATCTATTTTTGGTTTAATTAACAATTTTTATTAAGTAACATAATTATACGGACGCACTGCGCATGCATCAATGTTACGTTTGAAGCGGGTATTAAAAAAATCAAGAAAGTTTTAAAGAAAAAGGAAGTGTAATTTATATTTATCATTTTTATCACTATTAAGAGATAATGATTTCTTAAATTTACGCGAACACCACACATTGAATAAAACTAAATTTACGGATTCTATCGCGTTTATTTAACTTTAATTTAATTTTTAAAAATAAGTAAAATCAGTTAAATAAACGCGATAGAATTCGTAAATTTAGTTTTATTCAATATAAAGAGATTTTTTTGTTTTTTAATTAGTAATAAAATACATACTTAGAAAAAGATAACATATTTAGAAACTTAGCAAATCAACGTAGGTATAGATAATAATATTACATTGGCACTAATAATCCCAATAATAAATTAATCGATCAAATATTATGTTGGTGTATTATATCAAGTGAATTGGCATTTATGTAATAACTTATTATAAGGCAGATTTTAATTTTTTTATATAAATAATGTTCGCGACGGCCTAACAACCTTAAGAAACAAAGTTATAAAGAATATTGTTTTTTGTATTAATAGTGAAATTACCAAGAAAACTGAGTGAAAACGTGTATTAATATAGTTGTTTAGCATATTTATAATTCTTAGTATGTTTGTATAGAATGTCGTTTTGATAACAAGTAATATAAACAACTTTTATTATATACCAAAAAAATCGACCAATCACAGCGCGTCTTATCGTAGAACTCTCTAGAAGTTTTTTAATTAACTGCGTAATAGTTCATACTAAAAATAATGAAAATAATTTTATGTTCTAAAAGAGTTATAAATATGGCATTTAATTAGCATATGGCTTATAGATTAAAGAAGTATCGGTATATTTTTTTATAATTAAACGCATTTCGTAGTTATAGAAAAATTAAAGAATTAAAATACCCAAATATTATGAAAATTTGGGACATTTCGTTTAATAACTTTTTACAATGTTAATGTTTTTAATAACCATTATGATATAATAATAAAGTACCAGACTACCAATTTAATGATGTATAGCATGTTAGTGTAGCAATTAGTTTTGTATAGAGAATATTGCAATTTATGCCATTTGTATAGTGAAATGTTTATGCAATAAAGAGGCAAAACGGAAAATGGCAAGCGGCTCACTGTAAAGTATTGCTAAAGTTTACCTTAGGGGCTCGGGACCCAGTACCAGTAGTAGTGTGAAGAACTACCAGTGACAAGTGAAGTGAAGTGAGTGGTATCCGGTGGTAGCTGAAGTGACTAGTAGCAGTATATAGTGAATAGTGAAAGTGTTAGATAGCCTAAAAAAGGTCGTAACTGACATTCGCAGTTACATATAGTGAAAGTGTTAGCTAGCCGAAAAAGGTCGTAACTGATATTCGCAGTTACGTATAGTGAAAGTGTTAGCTTGCCTAAAAAAGGTCGTAACTGATATTCGCAGTTACATATAGTGAAAGTGGTAACTGATATCCGCAGTTACACAAGTGATAAAATCAGCTAGTTTAGTTGATAATAGCTGCTAGTCAGTAGTGTTAGAAAACCAGCTACTACCAATAGATATTTGATACCACCGTACAATTTAAAGAAATCTTGAAATATACAGTGACCAACCAATAGTGAACAACCGTAGTTTAACAACAGTGATCAATAAATAATAGTTATAAAATTTCGCGACTAATCAATCAGTCGAACCGCTGGCCACTACCTTGCTATTTGTATTTGTTAATCGTGCATTTTGATTTTAACTAGAGTCCACAATATTTCAGCGGCACCAACAAAGACGGCGGTGAGAGTACCCACCGGAACCTATAGGTGTAGGACGTGAGCGACTCGCGAAGTATCTTCGACAACATTTACTCCGGAGAGTTTCGCCCGTCCGGCACAAATAAGTTATTGACGAACAAACAATTACTGATAGAAAACAATCAAGAACAAACCAAAAAAATTTGGTGGGGCTAACTTCAGTGAGCCGATTCCGCTAGTAGTCTTCTTTGCTGTCAGCAAAGAATACTATTTTCGGTTTATACAGAGGTACTCTGTGAATAATACAGAGATAGTGTTCTCATCGTAGACAGAGAAACCTATAGACTAATGATTAGCGTGGCCTCGAGTGAGAATGGTTTTAGATTATACAATAATCTTTATGACTTTTAAACATATTTAGTTAAAATTTTTAATTGTTCTAAGAACTGAACCGAACAAGATTCACCACTTTTTTCTCACTTAAACGAAGTTGTAAACTCCTTAGATCGCTACGAACGTTGTTTAGCAAAGGGTAGTTTGCTAAACAAAAAAACCGGCATGGAGAAAGGAACAAACAATCACAGCGCTCTGTCTCATTTCTATGCAAGACGTATGCATAAATCTATCTTTTTCGTGTGCGAATGCGAAAGAGGGCGTCAATTTGTCTATAGCTTTCTCTGTCTACGTACATTTATACAATTTACAATCATATTACATACACACGGTCACCGGTCTTGTTTTTCTGAAAGTGTATTCTGATGGCCCTGGGGCCTTTACAGCTTCATCGAATTAGACTCGTGAGTGGGGACCAGCGGGCTATTGAGTGCAGCGATTGTATCGTCGGCGAGGCGCATCAGCATATTGTGAAAAAAATATATGAAAATGAGGATTCCCAAATTATAGGCTCAGAAGGGCTAGAACCCAGGCCCATAAAGCCAGTTAAATAAAAAATAAAAAAAAAATGAAAATAGAATTGTCATGTGGTCATTTTTGGTCTCTTTTTAATTAGGGATGTCAATTCTGTCCGAAAAAGATAGATTTTTAAATCGATTTCAATCGAATTCCGATGAATCGATTTACAAAAAAAATGGAAGTTTTTCGATTTTCTTTCAGATTCGTACAAAGCACAGATTACAAACGTAACTTATTTTTTATTTCTCTAATCCATTAAGAAGAGGTGAAAGAAACCGAGCACACAGCAGCTTTGCTAGTTTTTGAACAGAAAAATTGTTGTTGTTTACGAGTTAGGTACATTCAACTAATTGTAAATTTTTTATAGGATAGGGTGACAAACGTAGACAGAGAAACCTATAGACTAATGATCGGCGTGGCCTCGAGTGAGAAAGGACGATAACGAATTTTTAGGTTATACAATAATCTTTATGACTTTTAAACACATTTAGATAAAAATTTTTTTTGTTCTAAGAACTGAACTGAACAAGATTCACCAATCTTAAGCTCACAAAACACTTTTTTCTCACTTAAACTAACTTGTAAACTCCTTAAATCGCTACGCTGTTAAAGTTGTTTAGCAAACTGTAGAGTTTGCTAAACAAAAAAACCGGCACGGAGAAAGGGACAAACAATCACACCGCTCTATCTCATTTCTATGCAAGACGTATGCATAAATCTATCTTTTTCGTGTTCGTTCGTTCGTCGAATGCGAAAGAAGGCGTCAATTTGTCTATAGGTTTCTCTGTCTACGGTGACAAACGAGCCCACAGTCCACCTGATGGTAAGTAGTTGCTGCGGCCCATAGACATCTACATCTATCCTCCATTACAAATCTAAATGCAGAAATGCAGATACGTTGTCACCTGTGAGAACTGAGATGGAATGCCTTGTTTCCAGTAAAAAAGGTCTCCAGTTCTCTACACTCACCATACGAAATACAGCAGCATTAAGCTACTATTTCACGCTGGTATTCTGTGAGAGCGTGGTCCTTCCCCGGTCGAGCCGAACCATTCGTGCTACAACTATACTACTAATAGAACTGCAGCATGGCACGTATGAATTACGTGTGAACGTTAATTTTATAGTTCTTATGAAAACAGAAAAATATTTGATCTTGATTTTCTAGAGTGAAATATCGATTCACTGGATCGATTAAGTACTATATATCGATTAAAATCGATCTTTTTGGCACAAGAAATCGATTATTCGATTAATTGATTTCAGATCGACAAGCCTAGTTTTAATATTTGTATTTTGTATTTTTTGTACAGTTTTAATAAAATGAGTGTTCAAAAATGTCGAGTATGCTTAGATGAAGGAACTTTTGAGAGCATTTTTATGATTAAAGGATCTTTGATGCTTTCCACCAAAATTATGTCTTTAGCTAATGTAATGGTGAGCGTTAAATTATAGTTTACTGTTATAACTCTTGATTTATTATCGCATTCTTAATCGGTACAACGAAAGTTTTTTACGTCCTTAAGCGTAACTTGAAAATAGCAGTTTTAGGTGAGACTTAAAACAGACTACATATACATATACATAAACAAACAATTAGCTAACTTCCATAATTTTTTTTTAAATATAGCCTTATTTTTAATGATTTAGGGTCTTAAAGTTAGTACATAATTTTTTATAAAAGTGATATAGTAAAAAATCTAGAATTAATTATATCGGGTCTCTTGCACAAAGTCTGTAAAAGTGAACTTTACTCTTATAAAAGATACACACTATATATTAAATTGACCTTTACAAAGTTTAGTATAAAGCTTGCTTATCACTATGGGCTATAATATATATTATATTCCAAGATATCAATTATATCCCGAGATTGGCTTTCACACTGTGTTATATATTTTTTGTGTGTTCGTCATTGGATAACATTGTAGGCGTCGTTTATAAAAAAAATTATTTATCAATCCAAGTGGATATTGTTTTGCTAGATAGCCTCATCAATTCATCAGAGGAAGAGGATGCAGAATTCGATTTATGTGTGTTACTTTTAAGTAAAAACAGCGTAGTCAATACTTGATATCAAATCATATATAGTTTACAGAGGAGAATGCTAAATTCAGAATTTCTAATGAATTGGATGAAGAAAAGTTACAGATATATAAAGTATACTCCGCACACATTTACTTAGGTAATGACAGGCACAAACTTAAGGATGTAGTAACAGTGCATAACGGTGTGCGGGGTACAGAGGGGAAATATGAAAATATTGCTCCATTGATTGAAAAATTATTTATAGTTTGTGATGTAATATATATATTACATCTCATTGTAAACTGTTCCATTTAAAAGTATGGTGAAGCAAGATACATCTCGAGATGTAACATAAATTGTATTAAATACATGTGAAAAGTGAGTTTTACAACTATCTTGAAACCATTGGGTAGAGTATTGATTCTCCAATAATAAAAATGTCAGTTTTTGAGTCTAGGATGGATAGGAGTTTAGGATCTCTTCAATATACCTAGGATTTTTAAATTGTTTGCCATTTAGAAAATAGTATAATAACAAAAAGTTAAGTTTTAATAACTTATTACATGTAATGTTCTCTTGTGTGCATGAGCATTGTCATGAAGGTAATAACTTATTAACATGGTTATGTTGTGGACACATTTCCTTAACATTTTCAGCACAACACATATACACTGGCTTCCAAAAAAATCGACCCACCAGGTAATTTTTAGTAACAAAGTTGTTATCTTAAGTATGCGTTGACATGTTTGTAAGTTTTTGCTTATGGGTTATAAATAATTAACATCTGAGTACCCGCTTGACATTGTTTTAGAGGAATGCAAGTGCTATTGTGGGTATTTGTAACATTTTAAGTGCACTGATAAAAATTCTCGAGTTGCGTATAGAGTGCAAGGTTAGTTTATTTCAGACTTTTGACGCGTAATATTCTTGGTTCTGTGCATCATAGTGATTTAATCTTTTCATTCTTTTTTGGAGCAGACATATCGTTACTTTTAACCATAAAATATGGATACCACTAAAGCAGAAGCTGCTCAGGTGGTAGCTCTCGTTCGTGAAGGGCTAAGTCAGTGAAATGTGGCAAGGAGAATATATAGTCGTATAATATTTGAGTCGATCAGCAGTGCATAGAGTTTATAAACGATACTTAGAGATGCGAGAGTACCGCCGAAGACCAGGGTCTGGAAGAGGACCTCTCACAAACCAGACGGATCACCGTTTTATTCAATATTTCCATGCCAATATTTCTCGGGAAAATGTCTCCAAGTACCGGGACAAACTTGTGTCTTAAGTCGAGTCTTTACTGAACAAAGTCTCGGATTGAGAGCGACTAAATCTAGTTCAGTTTAACCCTCCGAAGACACAAGTTTGCGCGTTAACCGCTAAAAAGAACACCTTTGTGGTATCTCCTCAGTTTCAAGGCGCTCCCCTTGTTGCCTCAGCCAGTATCGGAATCCTCGGCGTAGACATATCGAGTGACGTGCAGTTTCGTGGTTACTTGGAAGAGAAGGCCAAATTGGCCTCTAAAAGGCTTGGCGTGCTCAGCAGAGCGGGACAGTATTTCATGCCGGCACACCAACTTTACAAGGTGCAGGTTCGGCCGCACATTGAATATTGTTGCCATCTCTAAGCTGGGGCTCCCCAGTGCCAGCTCCTTCCAACTTGACCGCATTCAGCGCGGAGAAGCTCGAACCGTCGACGACCGAGTGCTTTCCGATCGGCTCGAATCACTGGAGCTGCGAAGAGATTTTGCATCTCTTTGCATTATCTTTCGCATATACCACGGGGAGTGCTCTGGGGGATTGTTTGGATTAATCCCAGCTGCCAAATTTCGTGAACGTACTACGCGGCAATCGTCCCGATACCAATCTATGCCATCTGGGTGCTTGGCGGTCCACCACTGTACGTTTCACAAAGAGTTTTCTTCCGCGTACGACCTCTCAGTGAAATAGTTTACCACCGGCGATTTTTCCGGACCGATACGACCTAGGGACCTTCAAGAAAAGAGCTTACTCCTTTCTAAAGGGCCGGCAACGCACCTGCAATTCTTCTGGTATTACGGTTGTTCATGGGTGGTGGTAGTCACTTAACATCAGGCGAGCCGCATGCCCCTCTTCTATAAAAAAAAAACGGAATACAAATAACACACGGGTCGAATTGAGAACCTGCTTCTTTTTGAGAAGTCGGTCAAAAAGTTTAAAATTGTTACTTAAAGGCGAGATGTTACGTAAAGTAAGTAAACGGGTGCAAAGTTACGTTGCGTTTACGGCATACAAAGCAAACCCTCGCTATTTCTCTCTTAAAATATCAGAGTAAAATACGACATACTGAAATACTATCACACTATATTCTTTATCCTGCTATATAGCTAAATTTGAAAACAATTTTAAAAATTAAGTAGTTAATCGTTAGGTAAAAATAAAATAAAACTAGGCTGCACTAAAAGTATCGGGAATGGAATATTTCCACTGTTCCTGTCATATTAAAATCTTTTTAATTGAAAACTCCTTGGTTTTAAAAATCGAATACAATTTATTTATTTAAAAAAAAGATTCTCGGTCTTGTCACAAGGTTTTGTTAAACTTGTTTAGTCGTTGAGAAAATGGAATTGACTCGAGAAAATTCAAGAGCGATGATTTATTATGACTTTAGAAGTGGTTTAACACAAAAAAAGTGTGCTGACCGGATGATTTCTGCATTTGGTGATGAAGCCCCATCCAAAACCACAATTTATCGCTGGTTTGCTGAATTTCAACGTGGACGTGTCAAGCTCAGTGATGATCCCCGTCAAGGTCGTCCAAAAACTGCAGTCACCCAAGAAAACGTTGATGCTGTGCGTAAGCTCATTGAGGAAGATCGACATGTGACATACCGTGAAATTCAGGCAACTTTAGACATTGGCATGAGTCAAATACAAATATAATCTTGCATGAACAATTAGGTGCAAAAAAGTTGTTAGCCCGATGGATACCGCATTTGCTCTGTAAAGATCTTAGATACTTGGTGCGTCAGAACTCTCGAACGATTCCACGCAGGATCCTCAAATGTAGTATACAATATCGTATCAGGTGACGAATCCTGGATATACGCGTACGAACCCGAAACAAAACACCAGTCACGAGTTTGGGTGTTCGAAAATGAGTAAGCCACAAAAATGAGCCACGTTTGTCTCCAAAACCGGCCATGTTACGACTATTCCTCTGGAGGGACAAAGAACGGTTAATGCAGAAGGGTATGCTAGCATTTGTTTGTCACAGGTCGTTTCTGAACTCCGTAAAGAGAACTGCAACCGCCGCATCATCCTCCATCACGACAATGCGAGTTCTCATACCGCACACAGAACAAAAGAGTTTTTAGAGCAAGAAAACATAGAATTATTAGACCATCCGCCGTACAGCCCCGACCTAAGCCCTAATGATTTTTATACTTTCCCTAAAATAAATAATAAATTGCGTGGACAGAGATTTTCGTCACCTGAAGAAGCTGTGGACGCCTACAAAACGACCATTTTGTAGACCCCAACTTCCGAATAGAATGGTTCAATTATTGGTTCCATCATATGGAAAAATGTGTCAAATTTCGTGGAGAATAATTCGAAAAGCAATAAATACATTTTTAAATAGTAATGTTGTGTCACTTCCTTGATTCCTAAAATTTTCAGTGCCGCCCTCGTATATTAACATAAAATATGTATCCTTACAGTAGGTGCGTACTCGCAAATAATGCCTGTTACAACTAATTTGTAACCATACTTAAATTAATAAACAAACAATTAGCTTTATGCCAAATTCTTATAAATTTTAATACCATACCATTAAATATTTAAATACCATCTTATCTTATTAGACTAAAAATGTTTTAAGCATTGACTTATATATTACTAGTTTTAAGCGTCTACGACTTCTATGTTCATTTTTTAAATTTATATTTCGCCGCCATTTTGAATTCAGATTTCGGGGCGTCCCGCCACCTTATCACGGTTAAACTAGACATCGTCTTAAAATGTTGTTTAGATTTATTTAAAGCATCTTTTTTTAATCATATAACAATAGTTCATGATAGTTCCTCCCAGTAAAGGAAAAATTTCAGCAGAAATATCCCTTATTTTTTAAAATCTAAAACAATTTTTGCAACAGTTTTGTTTTTTGTTTAAATATTGTAAAACAAGTTCGTAGTAGCAAAACTGTAATGAATATAATATTACCATATTATGAATAACGTTAGCTACTTACCAAACACTTTCTTCTCGCGATACTCAAATCATAACACAATAAATTCACACTTCGAAGTTGAATACACGTTCAAAGCGATATGACATCACCTACTTTGAAACTTTACGTGCTTGCGTATTAGATCTGTTTAACGTTTAATTAGCGTCATTATAGTGTATGTAGAAAGGTGTAATTAATATCTGGGTTTACTATGGAAAACTTTAATCTCACTTGTGATCTAGTAAGGTAGCTACTAATAATGTGTAATGTATAGGGTTATTACATAAAAGGCTTTTAGAATAGAATAGAATAATTTTTATTCAATATAGTACCATGACCACGGGTACAAAGAAACCTCTGTCCTGGGAAGAACCAGCAAGGAACCCAGCGGGACATTTCTTTTAAATAGAATTAATTACAATTACAAAATATACGGATCGTAGATAATCAACTATAAATTGTACTGAGACTAAGTTAATAGCTGAGAATAATAATAATTCGTTTCCATGAATTAACTATCCAGAGTCGAGGTTGAGCTAGTAGTGGAGTACAACGAGTGCACCGAGCCACGCCAGAGCCAAGACTGCTTTAACGGCGTTTTTTTTGCACCCGAAGCAATTAAAGGGCTACCCTTTATGTAGGGAGGCGGAAAATGCATTACGCATACCACGTTAGCCGGTCTATCGTGGTTATGAGGGACTCACTGCCTACCGGGGGGAACCTAAGTGTTACCCTCTAAAAACCACCTTTGGTGATTGGCAACTGGCTGTTTAAGCTTCTTATGCCGTATCGGGAGCGACCCTCTTTTGGGAAAAGAGGGCGCAGTTTAACGGCGGCCGCTCCGTCCGTTTTATGCAATCGAGACAAGTACCTACACGAGCGGCACTGCAGGTGCAACGCGCGGGTGTGCGGTGCACATGTTGTTTACGATAATTCCGACTAGCCACACAGGCGCTGCTGCACGTGCAACGGCGCATGTGCCGACATATACATTAGAAAAAGACAAACATTGTTTTGGCGGTATATTTAAATATTATTAGGGACAACTACGTGACCACCGTTTAAGGCCGAATAAGAAGCGAATGACCTTGCTAGTTTCGCAGCAAACCACGCGCCGCCAGTACGCTTTGTTTATATAGACATGTATAATATAATCAAAGCCGTACGGGTTTTGATTATATTATATTTGACTGAGCTAGCTCAGTATGCAGAGTAATGAACAACGCAGAGTATTGCTTACTTCTTAAATAAATCTTTCTTATTTATAATATTAGTTCCTATAGATTATAATATCTGTATTTTATTCGTTATTAAATATTGTTCGAAAAGTTATTGAATTGATAACGGTTTTTTTTAATTGGTGCATCGTACGTAAAGATCCTCATATAACTGAAAATGTTATATGAGGATGGATGATGGATGGAATGATAACTGAGTCTTACAAGATGCCGTAATGCAAATTGCATAAATAATAAAGAAAAAAAAACTAAAAAGTCGGTGATTACCCCATAGTGGTGGGGATAGGTACTGTGTATGTAAATTCTCACAAGACTACTCCGACTGGTCAATCACTTCACATCCGAAGTATTTCGGTTTTTCTTAATTATGTACTTACCCCACGCTTTCGGACAATACATTGACTATGACATTATTTGCGGTCTCTGTGCTTGCAATACTCTATACATTCTTTTCCGACTGGGTCTTGATATTTACATTTTTAGTGTTTCTCACTTGAAACTAGAAAAGTATAAATGATCACTTTGGCTAATGTAAATGAGTAAAAATGCAACCTATTAGGCAGCCTCAAACAAAAAATTACCTTACAAAAATATAAGTATTAACCTCAAAATACAACATTCGAGCAGCGTTCATGCGATAAACTCTCTTTGTTTTTCCACTTAGGTAACATTTATTTCTTTTCCTACACATATTTACATTTATAGTCGCTTAAACGCGTATAAAACACTAAATTAACACATCGACTGTTGTTACCTTACGTCACACGTCGTAGCGCCTGGTAATTTATTACGGCAAACTTTTATCTGGCAATATACGATATTATTATTAAGTGTTTTTAATTAAAACGAATTATGTTAATAAATAATATTTTGCATCGAAAATAAAGACAGCCAGCACCTTCGGAATCACAATACAAACATTTTTACGTAAAAAGAATTTTTCCTAAATTAAAATTCACAGAGTTTTGGAAGAACAATAATTTTATATATCATTTCTTAACATTTTTTATTTGTTGGTATGTTCATTTTATTTTAAAATGACGGTCACCTTGTGAAGGACCCGAACAAACCTACAAAAATGTTTTAAAGCTTAGAATTACTTCAGGTCAAAGTTCTAGTCAAGAGAAATACATTAATTTTCGCCAGTTCTCTTCGTATTCGGCCTTAACGGTCGATGGGCGCTTATCGGGGTAAAACAGTCTACCGTAAAACGGTGGCCGGGCGTTCGAGAGATTAAATATCCAAAACGTCTGGAGCTTGATAATAAGTTACACAAAATATGATACAAGTCATGAAAATAGTTTGTAGCAATTTAGTGTAGATTTCATGTAAATAGAGAAATCGTAATATAATTACAATTTTTTCAGATTTATCCCAATGATGGGCTTCCATCTACATTATGTCCAATATGTACAGAAAGACTTGAAAATTGTATTGGATTTGTGCAACAATGTGAAAAATCTGATTCTTATCTTCGATCCGGTTCTAACTCTATTGATAACATAAGTGGTTATGATATAAAAGAAGGTGATAAGAAAGGCATTAAAACTCCTGAAAATGACTACAATTCATGTTATGCTAATTGTGTTATCAAATATTCGCCCTCAAGTGATATGGCTCAGGACTTGTCAATTGATACAAACTTGAATTTGGATACTAACTTCATAGACAAGGAAATTCCCATTAAAAGTAACACTGAAAATGTTGGGAATCCTTATGAGAATAGCAGTAAGGGTGAGAATAAGAAGTCACAGAAACAGCAGTGCTTCACATGTGGAAAGGTAATGTCATCCAGGTTGGTACTACCAAAAAAGCATCACCATTTATTGTTTGAATTGAATTATATTCTTTTGTTAGATAGCCTCGACAGTTCATCAGAGGAAGATGATACGGAATTCGATTTATGTGTTACTTTTAAGTAAAAACAGGTAGTGTCGATACTAGATATCAAATTTAGAGAGAAATTATCGTGAATTTAGCCTATTAAAGAATTGTATGAAGAAAAGTTACGAATACAAATTAGTATTACGCACTACGCAGAAGTTCACTCAGGTATAAGACCACAGAAATCGTAATAATACGCAATAAGACAATAGAAGTCGCATAGACGCGTGCCCTTGTCGTCGCTTATATGGGTTGACGAACATAATTCACCATTTTGTGATTTAGTTGTGTGGGGAACGTCGTACGTGAATTTTTGTTATTATAAATTTATAATAGTGCACTGCAGCATAATCAGTTGTAAAAACTAAACAAGAACGTGTTATTAAATAATAAAGGCATTTCATCAGTAGCAGTAGTTGATTATTTACTAATTATCATTATTTTTATTAATTTACATCTAGATAAATACTTTACTACGACATTTACCTTTGCAAACTCATTACTTTTCATATTGTACAATTACCATTGCTGCTTTTGTTCTACTGTAATACGCGACGTTGACAAACTCGCCAAGCAATGTAATGTGAAACATTATAATATATCATTGTGCATTGCGTATGTTTATAATACGGTAAGATGTGGCGACATCGGTTTTGGAAGTAATTGAGCGCTAATTCATTTCTATTGTCTTATTATTACGATTTCTGTGTATAAAACAGACACGGATTTGATGACGAAACTGCGGCGCGGTACGGTTAGCGAGGTACAGGGGGCGAAATATAATATTAAAACTTCGCTTGGTCGACTGAAAAACTATTTATATTATGAGATGTAATATATATTAAATCTCAGTGTAACTGGTTCTATTTAATAGTACGGAGGGCGATATTAATTTATATATCGGGATATAATATAAATCACATTATATCGTGCTTGAAGCTATATATTATCCTACAATTGAAATTTCTACTCCAAATTTATTTGGAACCAAACCTAAAGCGTATCCTATTTCACAAAAAAAACAATAGTTTAAATCTGTCCACAATTGACAAAGAAAATAAAATAGAAGTTTTTAATGACATATCACTTGTTAGGCTCTTCCTTATTGTTAGCTAACAATTATTATATTTCAGGTTTCGACTAAAAACTCACTTACGCACTCATACCGGAGAACGGCCATTTTCCTGTCCACATTGCAACAAAAACTTTTCTTTGGCACAGAATCTCAAGGTACATCTTAGAATACACACGGTAAGTGTTGTTAGTTATTTATTTTGCATAATGTAAGTAATGGTAAATGGTTTCTGATAGTAATTTTAATGGTATTATCATGGGTTGATATTTAAATAGTTACTACAATATTGTATGTTGCGTTAGTCTATACAAATAAATAAATTGAAGTATCTGATTGTGTGTCAATGCAGCAATCACCGGATGGGCATCACTCACCTTTGATTTGCCGACGATATAGTCCTTATGGCAGAATTGCTGGAGGCCTAAGCAATATGCTGAATGACCTCAATAGTGTCTCGCAACGGATGGTCTTAAGATGGACATGGTCACAACCAAGTCATCTGTAACGTTAATGTTACACCTATAGCGGTAGATGTTTTGAGCACTACGCTCGAAGTTGTCTACCAGTATGTTCACAATATGTATGGGACAATGGTTTCACTAGGTATGTCCAACTTCGACTTTGACCGAGAGTCAATCGACGGATTCGACTCGGCAACGACTGGCAATGGGGTGCCAGATTAAAACACGTCTCTTCTTCGGATATATTTTAAAAATATTTTGAGATATATCCGAAATTTTAAAACAAGATTGTACAACAATCACGATTGTGCAACGATCAGAGACATTGTCCCTCACTACTGGCTGAAGCTAGACTTAAAAACGAGATTCGGAGTAACCGACATAGCCCAACGGATTAGTAATATGAAGTAGCAATGGGCCGGCCATATAACTTAAAGAACCAACAACCGATGGGGAAGAATGTTTCTCGGGTGACGGTCTCGTACTGTTAGGTGAAGTGTAGGGTTTCCCTTCACTAGATGGATTGACGAACTGGTAAGACAACATGCAGGATGTCGATGGATGCAGGTGTCTCAGGACCGTGCTTTGTGGCATTCCTTGGGGGAGGCATATGTTTAGTTGTGGACTTGTGAAGGGCTGTAATGATGATAACGATGATAATACAATATTGTTATAAATCATTTAAAATTACTACCACAGAATATAAGGTTTATTCCATACTTGGCCGAACCAAAGACCTTGTAATTAATATATTCAACTTGATACCTGTACCAATTTCGTGAGAAAAATGAAAACTTAAGATCATCGGTAAAATTAAGAGTGACCAATTATTTTTAACAGTGTGCAAATAAGGGAGGTAATAAAGGAGTCCAAAATAATACAGAATAATACAGTAACTAATAATCCAAAATAATACAGTAACTTTATAAATATGTGCTTTTATACCACGTGAATAAATATGAAATGAATGCGCGGTCGAAGCAAAATACCATGAAGAAACCTGCATGTATTCGAAATTATAAACTTTTTGATGACCTATGAAATTCGATAGTTCACACTAAAGCAGTGCAGTGAGATTTTTACCGTTCTATAACCCTCTCAGAAATGTGAGTTCCATGCTCCATTCAGTTCATCCAATCAGCTGTGGGACGTAAGTTTGGCGGCTAATTTACATTGAAGTAATATAATATACTTACATACTAGAACAGCTATTACAAACAAAAAATGTGCGCTACTCTGTGTTCGCGTGGTTGGTTTTTTTATCATAGAATAAATATAGGTAGAATGATCCGTAGGTAATAGTAGATTGTATTGTTAAATAGGTAAATTATATCGAGAACAATATTTAAATTTTGTCATTTATTTTTTATATTATATTTGCTTATTTAATATAACAGTACGTTTGCACTGAGAAACATCCAACATGTAATGTTTTGAAACAAATCGCATAAAATAAATCACACAACATGTTTTGTTGATGGTAGCGTTCGCACTCACAAAAACTGTGTAAAATTTTCAACAGATATCAAGATTTGTTTTTAGCTGTGTTCGCATTGATTACAACATAGACATTTTACTTGTTTATCTATAGATTTGTCAACGTTAGCGTTCGCACTGTTGTTTTTTTATATTTCGCGATTTGTTTTAAATCGTGTTTTTCTGTTATCCAATTTAGTTGGTAAACATCACAAAACATTATCAACCCTAGCGGAGACGAATGATAACTTAATAAAAAATATAAATGTGGTATCATCATCATCATCATTACAACCCTTCACAAGTCCACTGCCGAACATAGGCCTCCCCCAAGGTATGCTACAAAGCACGGTCCTGAGCCACCTGCATCCATCGACTACGTGCATGTCTTACCAGGTCGTGACTCTATCTAGTGAGGGGTTGACCTACACTTCGCCTTCCGGTACGAGTCTGCCACTCGAGAACCTTTTTTCCCCAACGGTTTTCGGTTCTTCGAGCTATATGGCCGGCCTATTACCACTTCAGCTTACTAATCCGTTGGGCTATGTCGGTCACTCTGGTTTTACTGCGGATATCTTCATTTCTGAGTCTATCACGCAGAGAAACTCCGAACATAGCCCTCTCCATAGCTCGCTGAGCGACTTTGAGCGTCCTCATACGGCCAGCAGTGAAGGACCACGTCTCGGTTCCGTAGGTCATCACTGGCAACACGCACTAGTGGTACAACTTTGTTTTCAGGTTTTGAGGTAGGTATACCTGACGAGAAGATGCGACGTAATTTCCCGAGCGCTGCCCAGCCGAGTTGAATCCGTCGATTGACCTCTCGGTCGAAGTTGGACTTACCTAGTCAGACTATTTGTCCCAGGTAAACGTACTCGTCAACAACTTCCAGCTTAGTGCTCCCAACAACTACCGACATAGGTGTGACACGGACATTAAACATGATATTTGTTTTGTCCATGTTCATCTTATGATCTATCCATTGAGAGGCACTATTGAGTGAAACTATTAAATGTGGTATATATCTCCACAAATTCCATCTTTATAATTAATCAGATTATCTGCAATTCTCTCGTGAGGCGGAAAAATTTTGTCCTTTTTTTGGGGTATTTTTTTAGGTTACCTGTCCCAGAGCTCGATATAAAAGAACATAATAAAATACAATACAAATTTCTAATTATTTATTCACTTAAAATACATAACTTAAAGAAATGTAGAAAACTGTTTATCAAATAATTTAGTTTGTCACTGCCATCTTCATAATGTGTTTTAAGTGACAAGAAATTTTTCTTCCACATGTTCTACTAATTATATATATGAGAAAGAAATATGAAAGCATGTACCACCTTTCTCTCAAAATTTTACAAAGCTTACCATAGTTCAGGCTTATTCCAATAATCTGTGCTTCCTTGGAAATTATACAGGGTTATTTTGTGATAACCGGTCAAATTTGCAGAGAAGGTACAAGAATCTAATATAGGCCGTTAAAGACAAATCAATTTAAAAAAATCTCAAACTTTGTATCCTTTTTATCTCTTAAATTCAAAATGCGCAGTAATGCATTGTAAGTGATTTTACTGCACACGCAAACATTCGTAAGAGTAATAATAAGCTTGCCGCCGTCCCGGTGAGTCACTTAGGAATGTCAAAGTACTTACATAGACACAGCCTAGTAGCCAGAATTCTATACCAGGAGCTCGCTCTGAAATACGGTCTCGTGGATCGGAAACTGCCTTATTATAAGTACTTACCGGAAGCCGTGCTCGAAAATGACCGCGCCAGGCTCTACTGGGATCGGGCCATCATCATAGACAGGACTATTCTTGCGAATAAACCTGATATTGTGCTGATGGACCGGGCACAGTCAAGGATATTTTTGGTCGTCATTACCATTCCATATGACGAGAACCTAGTGAAAGGCTCACGAGGTGACCGACATGTGGGGTGGTCTGCAGACCGAAATTTTTCCCTATTTATTATTTATTGAATATATATTTTATTTATTTATTGAATCCAAATATACTCTACATAAAAACATATACTTACAAAATTACATTGATAAGACGTAAATCTAACTCAATAGTATATTAAGGTATCTTTAGCAACCGTGCTAGGTCACAGACCTGTGTTACAGCTGCTAAGCCCTCCCCATTAAATACATATCAAATAGAAAAACAAAAACATAAAAACAATTTTACCACAATCAAGAAATGAATAAAAGTGGGAAGAAGTAAAATAATTAGCTATGTGCTATGTTCTAATCCGACAAATGGCTCAATACTATTATAGCTAAATGTTTAGTTGTATAGTACAAGAGTAAGGCAGGAGAGATATTCTATAAATGTGTCACACACTTATAATAATATCCAAATGTAGTAAACATTTACAAGAACTTATTCTATATTTCACATAGAAATAATTGAAACTTAGCGAGTAGTGACTCAGTTAAAATTTCATTTTCTTAAAACAATAAAATATAATATGCAAAATGTTCATTTAATATTGGAGATTTGTTAATCACAAACCAATATTAAAAGTTTAGAAGTGTAAAATTAATACGTAGATGCCAGTGTGTAGTATATGAGTGTGAGTGTGTGTGTGAAAGGAGTGAGTGTGTGTTATTATTTTGCTTAACAGTTTGCATTTTTAACTATCTATATTTAATAATTTTTCAGTTTCCTCGTAAGATAAAGATATTAAAAATTAGTTAGAGCTTGCTTATATTTGAAACATGTTAGTCGATCGGTAGGCAAAAACGTTGTTGCCCATAAATCGGATTCAATTTGGGATAGTTGCAAATAAAAGAAGAAGCTTTATTTACTGATATTTTAAAAAATTGCAATAACATTATATCATTATTTATGTATTTAAGCTTAAGTTACGAATTTGATTACTCTGAAAAATATAATATAATATGTATATAATGGCAACAATATTTATCATTTTATTAGTCTGGACCCAAAGGGTGTTAAAAAAGATTGTTATACTAAGCCAACAATGTTGGGTCTTGCGGGCTTAGTATTACAGTCCAGACGAAATGTAACAGCCATGCATTCGACATCGCCTAGTATATGTATACTGGCCGCCTAATAGCAGGTGATTCTAAGGTACAGAATAACATTTCTCAAACTTGCATAATACTAGAACACTACTGAAGGGAGGAGACAAAATTTCTTTAGCAAAATTATTTCTGTCTATTAAGTCATTAGATGAGTTAAAACAAGAAAATAAAAATCAATACTGATTACAATATTTCAATTACCTATGTAAAAAAGGACAAAATAATATAGATGATTTACAATTATGAATGTATTGATAATATCATGCACAATTAAAAACCCTAGCATGTCTACAATACCTAAAATAGCAATATTTGAATCAAAAACAAGTTAAATAATAAATAAGCTCATGTACACAAGAGCAGAGTAAAACCAGCAAATAATAATTTCATTTTGACAATAATTGGTTGTCTATTTATTTCCATGATTTAATATTAACCTTAAAATTTTGTCCCTATATTATATGCTTGCAGTTACGACGTAAATAGAATAAATTTTATTCAAAACTACAAAACTTATTAGAGAATACTTGATTACAAAACTCATTAAGTAATTAATGTTTTTACTCGTTTGGGAAAAGCCTCTGTCCTATGTAGAAAACAAGCAAGAAGTCCAAGCGGGTCATTTGAACAAAATGTTATTTAGAATATAATGTTTTACAATTAAATATTAAAACATTTAGAAAAAACATTAATCACCCCATTCCCAGGGGTTTATCAATCGTATATTTTATTGTAATAAACTTTTTTGAACAACTTTCCTTAGTTAAAAATTTTCAGTTTTTGATAGACTGCATATTTTATGACTTGTAAAAACATATACTATTGCCCCATGAAGGAAAACTTATTCTTTGAAGTGGAATAACTGATATAACTAGCTTGTACTTGTTCCTAGTATTTACAGAATATACATTACTATTTTTAATAAAAAACTATTGTTGCTTTTGTGTACATTAAAGTAACAAAAACAAAAAACAAAAATTAATAAAAAACATACATTAAATTTTCATAAAACTACTAAAACGCTATAGTTAATATATTTACTTCTAAAAAACTTTCTTGAAAAGACTCCTTTGAACTTAGGTTGTAAAGTGCTCTCATGGCTCTCTTCTGCAAAACAAAGTTATTTCAATGTGAAATGCGTTAACCCCATTGCAAGATCCCTTATGTAATAAATATGGCGTATCAAAGGGTCACTATCTCTTTGTTATGGAATGCAAAATATAGTTGTTGCACATTTGCACCCAAGATAGAGAGAACTTGTAAATTTACTCCGTCCATGTCACACTGTTGCAGATGTATTCATCCCAGCCTGACAACCTGGAAGTTATGCCAGCTATGACTGATTCAAGACCTGAAATCAAAAATTAAATATGTTTTACAACCGTTGAGCTTTTATAATCAACTTTAATTTCAACTGTTGAAATAAAATGAAACATCATACAAAGTACTAATAATTACCTCTTTTATTAGTACAGTAAGATGATTTGCAGTTAAAAATGCATTGGAGAAATAGTTGGCAATGGGCTGTTTCAGTCTTCTTAGTACTAACAATCATAAATACTAATGCATATGATGCAATGATCCTAATACACTTCAATCAAATCTTCTTTGGGTTTATACATCACATTTTTTTAAAGACATTTCATCAAATATCAATATAAATTGATTGTCTGATGGTTTTATAGTATTTAAAAAATCTGCCAGGCCTTAAAAACTGGTTGATTGATTCCAATAGCAAAGAGTACTCAGTTAACCCTTTAATAGAGCCTGAGTAGCCTGTAACAGGTGGGTGACCTTTTATAAAGCCACATGGCTTTGATTTTCATATGTCATGTAGCTTTTTCTTTCAATTTCCTATTTGAACTTGTAATTACAGCGCAAATGTTGATGTTATTTTCTTGGATAATTTTCTTACTGTATTTTCATTAGCTAAACACTTAATACAATTTTGGCTTTTAATGTTTTAATGTGATTAAGCAATTGGTAGAATTTTCTCATGTATCACTTTCTTTAATTTTCTTTATTCGTCATGCAGCACAGTTTTTAGTCTCTATCCCATATCCCACTGCGAATCACTGTCAAACACATTGCACGCGCGTCCAGACTCTCGATTTCTTTCTTTTTTTGTTGTAAATGTACAGTACAGGTATTTAAAAAAATAAAACCTCTTCTCATCACTTGAATCCATTTTGTTGAAAATTCTCTGTCTCGAAAAGTGTCCACAAATACAAAATTAACGTCAAACTTATCTTTCAACATGACAATATTTCTACAAATTTGTTTTCAAACATTTTGTTTCTGCAGTTATATAGATATAATATAGTTATAATATATAGTGTACAATAAACTGTCAAACATATTTAACTACAATATGTTTAGTGACTATGCAAACGCTTTTTGGTACATTGACAGAAAACAGTGTTTAAAACATGTTTTTTCGTGAAAATCGCGTCAGTGCAAACGCACGGTAATAATACATAATATTATATCACAATTACATTTTAACGATATTTTTATCTGAATATTTTAAAAGGTAACTATGTCATATATAAAAAAACATACTAAATGTATGTTTAACAAAACTTATTAACATAACATTTAAATTACAAATATATTTATTTAAATTAGATTAAGAGTCGTTCATAAATGCTGGGCACGCGAGATTTAAAAATCGACGAATTTATTCCACTTTGATTTTGATGTGGAAACCTAAAAATAAAATAAAAAAATAATAAGCAGATTCAAATATGAAAAGTTAATCCTAATTATAATAAATATATGTTTCTACAAAAAAAATGTGTATAATAATATATTCGTCCTATACTTAAGTACCCACAGAAATGTCGCATCTGAACTTATTAATTTCATAATCTATATTCCATAACACGAGATGGCGTCTTAGGAATAATTTGTTTTATTATTAAACTATGATACTTTTTTATTGATTAAGTATCTTTTTAACCGATGAAAAGTAATTCCTTGGTTTTTATTGTCATTTCTTGAATTATTTGTGCAATATCTAAGTACACAAGACGGCATATTTTTATCGAGAGATTTTTTAAATCAACACAACACGTGAGAACTCTACAAGCGCCTAGCGAGTGACTGATTAAAAGTGCGGTGTATGCACCGCAGTTGAGTGCAACAGAGTAGCTGAATGGAGTGTCGCCTCTAGTACGTAGTACATAATAACTCAATGCTAATTTACTAAAAATAATATTTTATTTGGCTAGGGTGAGAAACCACTGCGTTGCAATATATGCGGCGAGTCCTTCGCACATTCCGCCGGACTAGCAGTGCACAGACGTAAGCATACAGGATTGACGCCGTATCAATGTATTCTGTGCCCGCGCAGCTTCCGAACTGTTGGCCACCTGCAGTATCATATAAGGTATAAAACTCTAATTAATTTCAAATTAAATGTGTCAGTGTTTTTGTTGGTTTGCCCTTCTTTAGCTTAGCAGCAGAGCAACGAATCGACGTGATGTTTTTGTATAGAGATAGTTTATGGGCCGGAGAGTGACTCTATAACAAACGATATAAAAACGTATGCTTTCTGAGGGATCGTCTGGAGCGCAATTATTTAATTACCAGTTCATGTGACACTGACTAAACGGATTTTTATGAAATTTAGTATGAAGGTGACGTAGATGATCGCTACATGTTTTTTGCATGCTTTTTGTTCCGGATATCTATAAACTTAGCTCTGTTATGGTTCCTCTTCAGCCATAAGATAAATACTGGCAGTTGTTACGAGTTTCTAGAGTATTTTAATAATTGCCTGGAAGTTATCAGATAATCTCCTTTCATTGTTATCTGGTATTTCTTGCTTTTTCCTTTCAACTACTTCTTTTACTCTATTATTTAGACGTCTGAAGACTGCCTTTTCTTCTTTCAATCTCATCATTCATACCGCCAGAATTACTAGCAACCAGCTAGTAAATCTAGCCATGCTCTCTGTGTTACAACTTCCATCCGTACCTCATCATCCCACCATAACTTATTATTTTTTTCTTTCATTCGTTCTTTTACTTATCTCACAAATTACGGTTGCTGTATTCACCAAATCTTTTTAACATTATCCCACACAGTCTTCAAATCTAAATTATTCATACAGAATTCATCCAAACCACCAATATTGTCTCTCAGTCTACATTTATACTTCTCTTTTTATATATTTATTAATCCTTTATTACAACCCACCTTCACCTAGGCGCTACAAAGTGCTCTGTGCCATTTTCTACCAGTCAACTCTAAAAAAAACCGCCTGTTATATTTTATATATACTAGATGATTTTTTTTACCGCCTGGAAAAAATAAGGTGTAGCAAGTGAACGAAATAAAAGCTTATGTCACTGATTTTTTTTACAATTTTTAATTTATTTTATATTAACATATTATGAAATTGATCTATCTATAAGCATTACTAATTGGATACGTATTATTTTAATTTCGATAGTTTTATTTGATTCATTTATTTAATAGTTTGTGTACATATATACTTCGATAGGAAAATGTTAAAAAACATAATTATGTACACAGGTACTGCTTTTTCCATGATGGAATTTCTTCCAGCGGGCTTATTGAAGGATAGTTAACGGAAATATAGGTAGTCAAAGTGTTTTTCAGTTTGTTTATTAAAGAAAAATTGTACAAAAAGGGTTATTATAAAATCAAAGAATCCATAAATTAAAACAATTAAATAACCCTGGGAATGAGGTGATCGCCACCATGCTGGTTCTATGAAAATTCATTCAAATTGTACAAAATAAATTATAGTAAGGTAAAATATGTTTAAAAAAATGTACCGCTGGGTTTCTTGTTGGTTCTTTGCTGAACAGAGGTTTTTTTCCGAACCAGTGGTTAATAAAAAATGACTTTCAATAAGTATTATGCAATACTGTACTTACTTATAATATACACATTATACAATACAAATATATATATATATAGGGGCACGGCGTCGATATTTCGGTGGGTATTGTTTCCCGGTTCCGGCTCGGCCCGGCCCCGACAAGTTGTAACATGAACGTGTACGCCGGGCACCCCGTAGGGCAGTCGACGTCAAATCTTTGTGATGTGAGTTCTGGTTTTAGTTTTTCAAATAAATAAGTAAAGTACTCTTTAGACATTCTAAAATAAACATAAAACTTGCTCTCGTCATTTATTAATTCTTTGTAGAGTAAAGCGAATCCTCCTTCTGCTTCTCGCTTTCTCCAGGTTGAATGTACACCCCATCTTCTTTTAGTAGTTTCGCTTCGTTTTCCCAATGCTTCGTCATCGATAGCAATTGCAATAGCTGCCAATTCAAGTTGTGAAAATTGCATATTTAACTCAAGCGTCACGTCTATCGACTGATGAAACCACTAGTAGACAGAACACCTATCACAGACACGGCCGTGCAAAGAATACCACTGCGTGTATACGCATACCTACAGGCCGGTGTAGCATGAATGACTGGCTCGGCCGGCGCACGGTGGCACGTCCACTCTCTCCGGGTGGAGCCCGGCCCGATCGCGACACGGTGTAATGTGAATCATGCTTAAGTAAAACCGTTACGATGTTGTCACATGAAAGTTGTGATTATTTCTTAATGTGTGTCATGACATAAACGTAACAAATAATCACAACTTTACCTGGAAACTGTGAAACAAGTCCTTCGATGGTGTTATAAATCTGTGGTTTTGTATTTCTATTGCTTCCCAATCGCCCGCTTCCCGAAGCAGAACTGAGTTAAGCCTCTTGTGAACGTGAACTACGTGACCAAAAAAATTAGGCGTATGGCAGCTAAGACGTCATTAGAAGTAGGGAAGGAACACCGGAACAGCGTTTGCTCACTAGAGAAAGCTCGGGGATAGAGGGGGGGTGCGGACGCCGAAACCGCATCCATGCGGTAATTGCGCCTGTACGATATATTACTTTCCTCTATGATTGCGCCTAATTGTATTGGCCAAGTTGTACATATTTTATTAATTAATTCATCACTGCAGTGATAACAAAAACAAAACTATTCCCAGATGATGTCATAATAAAGAAGTCCAATATAAGGCTGTTTGCGAAACCATGGTAAAAATACCGTGTAAAGTTTAGCGTTTTTTTAATTTGTATTTTTTTTAATTCCAGAAGACACACAGGCTCTAAAAACTTTGAATGCGACACTTGTGGCCGAGCTTTTATTACCAGGAGTGATCTCAAACAACACCTTTTGTCGCATTCTGGAGAGAAACCACATGTATGTTGCATTTGTGGTGTGCGTTTGACGCGTGCCTCTCATCTTAAAAGACATATACGTTATTTACATAATAATGTGAAGGAATCAAATGTAAAAGAATCACCCTCAGAATGTTGCATCAAGCAAGGAAGAGAAGGTGATAAAACGAAGATACTTGCTGATGCAAGCGATAATAATGTGGTGAATAATTAGAAGAAGATTGATACAATCAGGCGTTACTTTGCGGAAATCCATTATAATAAAAAATGAAAATATAAATTTCTTTGCAACCTTCCGCTAAATAAATACAATGATGTGTCTTACCTGGATTGAAGAGCACCTCCCGCCCTCCCTCAATTGCATGCACTAACTCCGTCACTACTAGTCCCAGCACCACTACTTCCAACACCACTAGACCGCTAATCTTAGCGGCGGCTGACCGCCAATCTTCGCGGTCAGCCGCCGTAGAGTCTACATTACCTGAAGATACCTCGTTTAGAGGCGAAACACGTCTCGTATTATCGTAGATGGTGTGTATTACCTGGAATAGTGGTGTTGTGAGTAGTGGTGCTGGGACTAGTGGTGACGGAGTTAGTGCATGCAATTGAGGGAGGGCGGGAGGTGCTCTTCAGTCCAGGTAAGACACATCATTGTATTTATTTAGCGGAAGATTGCAAAGAAATTTATATTTTTATTTTTTATTAGAAGAAGATTGTAAACATGATGTTTTTTTTAATTATGAGGAAAATTATTTTTGCTATGATTTATTTGGATTTAGAAATACCTCTCAATTATAAGAATATAAAAAATCATTGTTTTTAATTTATTGATTTCCAAGTAATAATGTACCTTCGAGTTGTAGTTAATTCATGAGAGATATGTGTTAAATTAACGTAAATCCTCTTCAATTTTAAGGTTGGTACAACAGTCAAGGCAAACCTTCCTTTATTGATAGCTTGGGATATGAAATATGATTTATCGAAATGTTCGAAACAAATGGTGCTAGTCCGTATAGGTATCCAAGATTAGTGATTTCTACAAGCTGCAATCCAAGTCGGCTACTAATAGAATAATAAATCGATTTATACATATAATAAATCTGTAGAAAAGATTGTGTCTGTAATTCTAATATCGAGTCGTTGAAGTTTCTGGTAGGCCCATAGGCGATTGTCTCCTTTACCTACTTAGCACATATGAATAAACATTTTAGTCTATTCTTTAGTTGTATTACGTCAATGCCAAAATTAGGTTAATATACTGTGTTTTTTAAAATAGTCGGCTGTGGCAGAATACCAGCGGTGACCTAAAATCACCACATAGCTGAGTCACAGGCCAGTTTGTCTCATTACTATTATGTTACTTAAGTTTGTTTCTAAGTTAAGTTTGTGATGATTTCTATTTGTAAATTTTTAATAACCTGTGCAAACTGAGACAAATAAAAAGCTTATTATTATGGGGTATCTATATAGTTTTCTCATCTGGTTGGGTTCTATAAAAAAATCAAAAGATAAATATACATAAATATCAATAACATAAAATAAATATAAAAGTACATAAATAAATAAAAGCCCAACCAGATGGAAGCTCTCGGCAGGGGAGACCAAACGGCCGAGGGTTAGGGGGAAAGGGAAAGAAACCGGCGGACGATGCGGGCAGTATCAAGGAGCACCGCCTTCTGCATTTGAGCCCGGAACCTGATCCTGTATTTTATTATTATTATTATTATATGGTGGTGTTAAATGAGCGACAAGCCGATACCACAGACTCGGCTCCACGCCGTGGTAGCGGCGTAAAATATACTACCCCATATTTCGCACCATGAGGAACCATCTAAAAGAAATGGCCCCGAGTTCCCGGCGCCCCTTTAATGGGGCAGGGGTGCGAAGAATCTCCGGGAGGAAAACCGGCGACGAGGTACGCCACCCGTCACGTCCTGTCTCCCGGAGAGGCGAAAAGTGGATTGCAGAGGCCCGTCTGGCTACGTTGAATGTATGAATGATAAAATGGATGAAGTATGCGATATGATTTATGATAGAGGAATAGATGTGTTATGTGTAAATGAGACGAAAAGGAAGGGGAAGGATGTCACTACACATGGCATGTATACCGTATACTGGTCTGGTGTAGACAAGATCGAGCGGGCATGCCAGGGAGTAGGTATAAAGTGGGCTTAAAGAAGTTGTTTGTGTTAGGGGTCTACGCCCCAGACATGAGACGCCCACTTATATCCGAGAGCAGTTTTGGGAAATGGTAAGGATGGTGTTAATGAAGTGTAAGGGAAATGAAAATATTATTATGCTAGGAGATTTTAATGGAAGGGTTGGGGTGAGGAGGTTATGAAAGTATATTGGGAACGTTTGGTGATGAAAGTATAAATGAGAATGGTGAAAGTCTCCTCACCGTATGTATGGAAAAGAATCTTTTTGTGACGAACACTTGCTTTCGCCACAAGAGGATTCACATGTATACTTGGGAAAGAGGTGACGATAGAAGCATGATAGATTTCATAATTGTGGATGAAAGATTGAGGGGCGCAGTGGTTGATACAAGGGTTTACCGGGGTTCTAACGTAGGAACGGATCATTATTTGGTTTTATGCCGAATTAATGGTCTATTCAGGCGCTGGCGCCATCGATCATCTGAGTCTACTACTGCATTACAGCGTATTAGAATAGAAAGGTTACAAGATGAAGATGAGAAAAACAAGTTCAAATGTAGACTGAAAGAAAAATATAAGTGGTTTGGATGAATTATGTATGAAGGAGTTAGACTTGGAGAATGTATGGCAAAACGTAAAGAAAGGTTTAGTGGATGCAGCTACCGAAGTATGTGCTGTTAGTAAGAGAAAGAATTAAAGGAAAAATAATACGTTATGGTGGGATGATAAGATACGTATGGAAGTTGAAGCAAAGAAGAGAGCATGGCTAGATTTACTCGCAACAAAGGCTGGTAATTCTAGTGGTACGAATGATGATATTGAAAGAAAAAAGCAAGAAAGAACGGATAAGAATGATAGAAGAATATCGGATAACTTCCAGTCAAATATTAAAATGTTCTGGAAACTTGTAAGAACTGCCAGGGGACATTCAAAACAGCCTATGATGAATGCTATAAGAGACGAGAATGGCTATATTCTGAATGATGAAGTTTTGATTTTAAAGAGATGGAAGGAATATTTTGAAAGCGTGTTTATGAGTGAGGAGACAACGTGTGTACTAAGTGAAGTAGAAACTCCGAAAGAAGAGGAAAGAGGTAGCGAGATAAGTATAGATGAAATAATGAAAGCAATGAAAAGCATGAAAGCAGGTAAGGCTGCCGGATATGATAGAGTTTCACTCGAAATGCTAAGGGCTGGAGAGGAAGTTGTGACAGGCCTACCGCACACCTTGTTTAATTTATGCTGGGAACTGAAGCGGGTACGGGTAGACTGGTGCAAAGCCGTGATAGTCCCAGTATATAAAGGAAAAGGGTCGCAGCGGGACTGTAAAAACTACCGTGGCATCAGCCTTCTTAGCATTGTGGGAAAACTGTATGCTAAGGTACTGATTGAAAGGGTCATGAAAGAAACTGATGGAAAAATTTGGGATGTGCAAGCGGGATTTAGAAAGGAAATGTGATGTACAGATCAAGTCTTTTCCATGCGCATGATCGCGGAGAAGTTTTTGGCCAAAAACCAAAAGGTTTTTTGTGCGTTCATGGACTTGGAAAAGGCCTATGACAGAGTGGATAGGGATTTGCTATGGCAAACACTGAACTCATTTGGGTTGAGCGCTGGCTTGATACAGGCATTGGAGTCTCTTTATAGGGACTCCAGTGCTTGTGTTAGGATTAACGGGGTCTACGCGGACTGGTTTGGCATCCATAAAGGTGTCAGACAGGGCTGTGTGGCTTCCCCGTGGCTGTTCAACCTATTTATGGACAGTTGTTTGCAAAATTTGAAAGTTGAAGAATGCGGATTAAGAATGGGTGAGTTAACCGTCAAATGCCTTTTGTACGCCGATGATCAAGTTATTCTTGCGTCGTCGGCGGCCGAGTTGCAAATGATGGTTACCTTAATGAACAGATCATTAAAAGAAAGGGGTATGAAAGTGAACGCAAATAAGACGAAGGTTATGGTTTTTGAAAGAGAAGAAAGTAAAACGATTTGTGAAATAAGAAGAGAAGGGGAGTTGATCGAGCAAGTAGATGAGTTTGTATATTTGGGCTGCGTATTTAGCAGGGATGGTAGATATGATAAGGATATAGAACGACGAGTGAATGCGGGAAATAGAGTAAATGAGGCCCTGCACTCTATTGTGAAGAGTCAAAATGTGTCAAAAAAAGGCACGTATGGCAATTCACAATGCTGTGTTGGTCCCTACTTTAACGTATGGTACTTTAACTGTAAAGTAGGGAACTTTAACGTATGGTAGTGAAAGTTGGGTGTGGCAGAAGAAGCACGAGAGTAGAATCAACGCAGTAGAAATGCGGTCGTTAAGGAGTATGTTAGGGCTGAATCTGAACGACAGGGTAAGAAATTGTGTAATAAGAGAAGAGTGTGGTTTGCAAGATGATGTTGTGACCAGGATTAAGAAAGGAATGCTTCGGTGGTTTGGCCATGTGAAAAGAATGAATGAGGAAAGAGTGACAAAGAAAATTTATGTTGCAGAAGTGAATGGCAGAGTCGGAAAGGGACGTCCTAGGCGAAAATTTATTGACCAAATTGGCGATTTATTGAAAACGGGCCAAATTAGGAGTACCCTTAACCGACGAGCATGTATGCGTAGGTGTATGGATGTGAAGGAGGCGAGAGAGGTGTGTCAGGATCGTGCCAAATTTAAGTCTGTAGTCTCTGCCTACCCCTCTGGGTGACAGGCGTGAGTGTTTATGTTTTATGTATGTATGTATTATTATTATTAATAATATTTTTTGAAGAAAAAACTAGTCCCGGGGACTAAACTACGGGTACTGAAGCTATATTAGTGGTTTTTAGAATTTTGTCTATCTGTCTGTCTGTGTATTCAAGATTCACGCAAATACTACTGAACAGATTTCCATGAAATTTGTGTGTAAGTAGTTAGGGATCCGAGGCTACTTATAGCTACTTTTTATCCGATTATGGAACTCTAAAAAAAGAAGGTTACGTTTTAATTTTTCTTTCGAGTTAATTTTATAATAACTGCTTATAATCCCTTAGTGATAAGGTCGATTTCGTAGAGTTCTTATATGTATAC